GCAAGATTTCCTGCATCCACCGTATCACATGGGTGGCTGTCGAAGTAGCGCCTACGGCTAGACAGCTAAGGGGACGTCAGAGAATCCTCATATGAGCTACTACCAATACTAGCCTTATTAAGGGACCCTTAGCAGTGAACATAGGGGTCCTTCTTGCAGGTTTGTATAGTGCTTAATATAGTCCCTAATAAGGAATCCATGTTCATTAATTATGCAGGAAATATTGACTGTAGCTCATATAGAAGTTGGCAGGTCCGCCTTGCGGGGTACCCAATGTAGCGGGATCCCTATTCCTGGCATCTCTTCATACCCTCAACCCCATTCTGGCCTAAGCTCTCAGCCCCACGCTCGCTGATGACTCAGGCAAAGTGGCATCAAGATCACCAACGAGCCCCCGAAGGGTCTTTGTCTGAGCTTGCGTCTTGCTTTGTGGTGGTCTTGAGCCTTTAGGGTTTAGGGTTTTAGGGTTTAGGGTTTAGGGTGTAGGGTTTAGGGTTTTAGGGTTTAGGGTTTAAGGGTTTAGGGAAGTTGATGGGGAGAATATTTGAGGGGGTGCCCACATTCTGCTCCTTCCAGGCTCCCTCCTTGAATTCCATGATGTCCAAAGGATTCAGGATATGCTACGAAAAGGCCTTCAGGCTGATTAGCTTCCATTGTTGGCGAGGAGACTGGTGATGGTGAAGCGGAAGTGTAGCAGTTCAGGCTCCCCTTTTTCCGGGCAAGTGCAGTCTAGCTGTCAGTTCTAAACGCCAAGATGAATGCGTAGAAACCAATACATCAAAAGATGATGATGATGATGATGACGACGATGATGATGATGATAATGCAACACGGGGACGACAACAAAGGCGAGGCAGCACTGACCCTAGTTGTTGGGAATTATCCCTTGTTGGGTGTACTTATTGCGGGGGCCGTATTGGAAAGGAGACCACAGATGGGCCATCCTTACGACACCCTCACCATTTTCATGCCCAAAAACATGTCTCTGTCCCGCAGGTTTGCGAGCCAACTTGGGCCGAACCTACCAGGATATTGGCGAGGAAGCGGCCGAGGGCTACTTAAAGGGTTCTTGTAGGAGCCTGAGCAGGTGGTAATGCTCCCTTTGTCCGTGTACTTGTAAAAATGGCGCTCGTGCAAAGAGTTGAAACCACCGTATGTGCACTCACACCTCCAAAGCAGATAGCTGTTTTGGCCGAGGACGCGTCCAAAGCAATACCGTGGTTGGACAAATATCCATATTCGTCATGTAGACTTTGCGGCGAGGATGTTTTTGAGAGCTGTCCCTCGAAGCCCACAGAGCATCAGCCTCAGAGATCTGCAGGGGCTGTGACAGGACTTTTCTGCAACCTGTACTGGCAAAGCTTGATGCTGCACAATTTCTGTGGTGCTTCTCGTGGTTCTTCGCAGGGTTCACTCGTAGACGTTGAGTGAACTAATGATCTTTGCTCAGGTTCAAGAAGCTCCTGTTCGGCCTGGCTTTCTTCCATGCGGTCATTCTGGAGCGTCGAAAGTTTGGACCAATTGGTTGCGTCCCCAGTCCTCTGAAGCAAGCAGAAGTGAGTCATCTGAGCTATAGTCTAACCTCCTTAAAGGGGGTTATATAGTATAGCGGATTATATGGGATTATATAGGATTATATAGGGAAGAGCTATAGGGGCTATTAATGGGATACTAGGAGTTAAGACTACAGCTCGTCTTGTGGCAGGCACCCTCAACCCTTAACCATGAACCGTACGCGTCTGGCCGAGGCTGGAACATCCCGTATGAGTGGATGGACTCGGACTTCCAGGCATGGCTGGAAGAGCATGGAGTATTGGTTAGGAGGTTCCGGGTTAAATAGGGATTATATAGGGGTAATGTAGGGACTATATCGGGGCTATGTAGGGGTTATATTGTACAGGGGTTATATAGGGGTTACACATGGGTTATATTGGGTTTAGCGTTTAGGGTTCACAGGTTTTGGTCAGCTGGGAATGCGGGAATGGAAAAGAGAATGGACACTACTATAATGGGTTACATAGGGTTTAGGGTGTGGGATTGGGGGTTTAGAAGGAATGGAAAAGAACATGGAAACTACTATAATGGGCTACATAGGGACTACTATAGGGATCCATTCCTTCATTCCTAGCTAACCAAAGGTAAGGTGTTGGGATGTCCTTTTACGAGCGCGAAAATATGGGGGGCGCTCATCGTTATGATGGCAGTCAAAACGAACAAATGATCGTTACGAGACACTTATTCACCAGGGTGTTAGTTCTGAGGATTAGGATTCGTAGCTGAATTCTTGACGCAGGTGTCTCGAGAGCAGGTTCGAATGTACCTGGTGTCGCAGCCAGATGTCCCGTGGATCACGCTGCGGTGCTCCCTGGGCGTTTGAGGAAATCCCGAGTGTAGAAGTGTGTTAAGTCAAGTCTGTGCGTTGGTTGCAGGTACATCATTGCAGAAGTCAACTATGGTGGACGAGTCACCGATGACAAGGACCGCTGGGGCCGGTGCCCTTTGCAATTTGTGACTCTTGATGAGCCTTGCTACGGCTACCTACCTGCGAAGTGAGGACGTGCGGTTGATCTCTGCAGTGCTCAAAGGCTACTTCAGCGCACGTGCCTCAGGCAATGCTTCAGGACTCAGCAAGTTCTGTGCGGTTCCTATGGGAGGATTAGAACCTCTGAGGAGAGGATCCTGGAAAAGGGCTTCAAGTTCGCCAACCTCGAGGCTCTGCTCCTCTTGTCCTCCAGAAGGGTGGCATCTTCTTCGTGTTCTGGCATCCCAGGAACAGGCCTTCATTGCGGAATATGCAGATTTTTCAGGAGAAGGGCCCAAGGGACTCTAGGTTCTCGTGGGTCACACAGGATTTATGGGGTGCCCATCAAGGATTCTTTAAAGCTCGTTCTGAGAAATTCGAGTACACGCTGCAACATACTAGGAAATCTAGTATGCTCAGTATGCTTGAGGCAAATTCCTAAACTAAGGACTAAGAAGTATACTGTACCTTGATTGAACAGCACAACATCCAGTATACCTCAAGGTCCATTCTTTGCCATATGGGTGTGTCTCAATCATCCTAGATATCTTCTCACCGAAATCTTCACAATCTCCTTTCAAATTTAATTAGCACCTCCAGAACTGCCCTGGAATCCCTGAACCTTAAACCCAGAATCTCATCCTTACTTGGCATTAGGGTGATGGGTCCAAAAGCGACTGTCGCAATCTAAACTCGGAACCCTGGATCCGAAACCCCAAGCCTTAAACGCGAAACCGCAAGGCCTAAACCCGTAAATCCAAAACACTATAAACTAAACCTTAACCCTAAACACTAGACCTAAACCCTCAACCCCAAATCCTAAACACTAAACCCTAGCTTCCTTTTGGTTTTGCGAGTGCTGACCAGGCCTACTGGATTCCCGAGGAGGGAAGTGGGCGACTCAGACTTACTGGTGCCTAGGGCGGAGTGGGGGAGAGAATCTGCGCGACTTAGGGGTTAGGGTCCATCATTAACGGAGACTGCAAGGAAGGATAGTTAGAGGATCTACTCCCCCACTCCCTCTTAAGCACCAGTACATGGAGCCGTGCGTTGCAAGATGTGGTTTCAAAGCCCTGTTACACTGTCAATGAGTGAGTGGGTCATAAGTCATAAGCACCATGACAAGGCCGTGAGTGGTCATGGTTTTCAGTGGAGTACACCAGCCTTGTCAGAGTTAGACCCAATGCTACGCACCTGCCATCGTTTCACCGGCTTTTGACAACTGGAACACTTAGATTCTAGGCCGTACGAGGGGATGGGGTCGCTGAATGCCCCGATTTCGACCATCTGAGGGAGGAACGATCGATCCTTCAAATCCTGCATCATCCCAAGTACTTTACAACGTTCGGAATTACGTAGAACAGTAGAAACAAATTCTTGCAGGATGTTTTGTACCAAGAGGAGCACCAGTCATGACCTTGCTAGCCAAAGTCTAATCCTGCTTCGGAGCCCCTATCATTTCAGAGTTTAGCCATGATATGAGTCCTGGACCAAATTTGTAGTATATGCCTTCATAGGTCCTCCCCAAAACTCTATATAGTCCCCGATAGGTCCCCTCCAACCTAAACCCTAAACCCTTAGTCCGTAGCTGATACGGCACAGCCCAGGTTTGCAGGAGACCAGAGACTATCTCAAGCAACTGCCCATGGACGAGGACGGGCTTGAGAAGCCTTTTACTGTCAAAGCATTGACTTGTTGGGAATATCGTGCCGTGGCAATCCCTAAGATTCTTATAGTGGAATCTACCTCAAGGCCCTATTCAAAGGCCCCCACGTGAATTTGAATTTTCTTGCGCTTGCCTGCAGCGGATGGAGACTCGTGCCTGATCGCGTTGTTTGAGCTGCACAGCCAAAACCTACCCAGGATCCCCGAATTTTTGGGCACAGCCCTGAGATCAAGGGTTCCATCAAAATGTGGTTGTTTTCTTTGAGGATCTTTGGAATATGGATCATTTTCTATTTGAAGGGGTCAGGGGACCCCAAGTTCTGGAAGCTGCCAAATGTACTGACATGTTGGTGCATGCTGAGAGACGGCAAGCTAGTGTTGGAGAGCGCCTTCGTTGATGCCTCAACAACTGTCCATCGACTGCCTGCACAACGCGTGAGCAGTTTCTCTGCAATTCTTGTATAGTCCCGGCACAATCTCTACATGTTCCATAGAAGCACCAAAGAGTGCTCATGCATAGCCGTCAGATTAAGCTTATACTTTCTCAATCACCTCACAACTAGAGATCTTGTCCAAGGCTGCACCCAAATGCTCTCATCACGGCGCAGCCGCAGACCTGGGCTTCTGCACTGGTGATGTGAGCTACTGTCCTAGCGATAGGTTTTAGGTTTTAGGGTTAGGGAGCTACTGTCATAGTAGTAGAGTCCCTCATATGATATAGGGGTTATGAAGGGGCCTACTTCGAGTGAAGTGTCTGAAGGGTCCTTGTGCTATGACCGGGAATCGCGGGAGAGGCTCATGTTCTGTGGTTTGGAGGTGTTGACGTTTGGTATCGTGTGAAATACTTTCCCCTGCAGAGATGGTTGTTTCTCAGACATTCCCGTGGCAGAAGTTTTGCGTGTGCAATCTGTGCAAGCCAGGTTCAACCAAGCGAAGAAGTTCCTTGACACAGTCGTCAGTGTCCAGCCAGGGCCTCACAACATGAAAATGTTAGCAGTGACATCACGTCACTCGGGTGGGAGCAATGCAGCCCAGCCCAGACAACTTAATCCTGCTTCGTCTGGAACGAATGAATTGTGCATCTATATGAAAATTGTGTAGGAGGGGTTACTACAGGGATCCACTTATCCATTACCAACTCAGAATGAACAGGATGCTTTGCGCAAACTGTCGAGGCCCCGCATTTCCTCTGGCGGGGGTGGCAAGAAGCCAGAAGAAATTGTCGCTGACATGGCGCAGGCGTGCGCTTTTCCTTGCAAATGCGGTTGTCTAAGTTTACCAAGGGATTTTGCGTAGGGTTTATCAGATGCTCAGCAGTTTGCCGGAATGCTGTGAGGTTGTTGAGTTTTGACCATCGCCAATCCACTGCACATGGGGACAGGGGGGGGGTGTCAGAATTGCCATCCCATGCTTGAGCCCGCTGTCGTCACGATGTATATTGGGACTTGTCTTGTCCATGAGTTCATAGTCACAGTCAAGAAGGCCTCCCCTGTGCCTCCAGCCAGAGACATGGTGTCATAGCATTCTGCTACTGCAGTTATCATGATTATGGCTGCTACTGAAAATTCCGAGTAACCTGGAATATTTTGGATATCACGATGCTGCTGTTGGCAGGAATGTCATAGTTGTTACAAGTATCAATACCATTACTTGCGGTTACGGCCATTGAGCACAAGTTTGGCACACTCTTTGCAAGCTGAAGCATCGGAGGAGTTCCTGAAACGAGTTCCAGATGCGGTGAAGAGCAAGAACGCCCATCCGGAAACTTACAAGAAGACTGCCCAAGGCCACGCGGGCAAAAGCCAAGTTTGAAGTTCTTTTCGGCGGGTCAGGGACACTACGTGTTTCTTTGTAAGGTGGAGGGCATGGCACACAGGGATACGTTTGCTGGAATGGAGGCTTCAAATAATTATTACCACAGCTGCGCTTCCGGTTGGGGCAGGGCAGATGCAACTGCCCAAGAGAGCTTAAAAGATTTGGTAGTTTCCCGGAGTTAGGAGACCCCCCAGTATAGACCCAACAAATATTATAATCCGAATCATAGAGACCCAGCAACCCCTCCATTTGGGGGAACATCCACTTGAGTCTTCGTCTAAACAGGGCTGATCCTGCACCTGGTAAAAAGCGCTGGCGCTTGCCATGAATGAATCCTTTGTACCCGAAAACCTGAACCCTGTCTGCTGACATAGTTCAGTTCAATCCCTGCAGCTGCCATGCAGGTGGGATCGTCTCGGTGGGCGTGTTCCACAGCCAGGATCTGTGTAGAAGTTTGGTAGAGTCCCAAAATGGGGGGGCCCAATATAGACCCCAAATACTATGATTCTTGTTAGTAATACAAAGGTTACCGCTAAATTTGGGAAACCCTAAACCTAAGCCCTAAACACTATATATCCCTTTATATCCCATATAACCCCGTAAACCCTAAAACCTAACCCTTTTAAAGATATCTCAAATTTTCGGAAACCCCCATTTGTGTGGAAGTTTGCCGGCTAAAGGCTGGCACCTGAGAATATCTCAGTGTGACACGGGGATCGGACTCCAAAATCCCTGTCTAGTCATCTACATATGAGCTGGGACAAAAGCCTGGGCCCCACGGTTTATATAGGACTGACACAATTTATTGGTGTGTGCAGGACATGGAGAGAACGATGAGAGTGAATCACACGATAACACGATAGCATAGTAACTTATGTCATGTGATGGGAAAACGACCACAGTCAAACAACTTAAGAATGTGTGAAATTGGATAGAAGGCTGATCTCCTGGTTTTTGGCGCCGCTCACATGGGGGTTGCGCCAAAGGTGCATGCAAAAATGGGACCATTCGGAACACATTTCCGTAGAAAGGGATCGTAACCAAAAGGAAATCTACTTCATGGCCCTTTTGGGGGAAATGCATTCTGAACAGCTAAACGCTAAACCCTGCCCCTTGATGGCAGGAATACGCGCGCATTGAAAAGCTCATCAAGGTGGTCAAGTCAAGTCTGGTCATGCTGGGCAAGGCCAGCTCGGCATTTGGAGAGGATGATGGAAAATAACATGTAAACTACTACTTAGGGTTAGGGCTAATATTAGGGTTACATTAGGATAATGGAGAATAACATGGAAACTACCATTTAGGGTTTGGGGGGTTTACAGGGGGTAGCTTTGCAAGTCGTTTAAGATTCTGATTGCCCTTAACTGTTGTATGATCTCGTTCAAACTATAAACAAAATTTTTCAGGACCCCGACAACCTACACTGGATTAGGGTTTAGGGTAGGGAGATTTTGTGTTTATGTTTCTATTTGTGGGCATTTCTGCGGATGCCTATTGTCTTGCTTGGAGATCCAGGGGTTACTTGTATTTCCACAGACAAGCAGCTCTGTTTTTTGACGTAGAGGTGTTTCAACTCATCGATCAGGCTTCTACGTTACATTGTAAGTTCCCGCTTCACCTATAGTCTTAACTCCTCAAAGGGGGTTATATAGGGAATTATATAGGGGAGTATGAAAGGGGTTATTGAAGGGATATTAGGAGTATAGATTACAGCTCACATAACCCCCTGTCCCTGCACCATGGTGTTCTGCAGGCCATCAAGGGCACAGTGCTTATGTCCGCAGAGCTTGAGGGGATGCCGTACACTCAGAGCTGCACTGGTGCTTCAGGGATGATTCTGGACCGGATGGGTGGCCCTAAACCCTAGAACCCTAAAGTAAAAGAGGTTACATAGAGATTAGTACAGGGACTCACAGGAGCGGGGGGCATTCTCATAATGATGTTTTTAATTTAATGGCCTCCCAAAATAGTCCAGATGTTCATGCCAGCACTTCGTCTTAAGTACGACGGGAGTTTTCTGGAGGTTGTAGGAAGTTCGCAGGCAGGTGTTGCTTTCGGTTTTGTGTTCAAGGAAACAATTGGAGCTAGTTGCTTTCAGACCCTAAGGCCCAACATTTCTCAAAATTATGGGCAGATACATGTGAGCTATGGTCTAAACTCATAGTATCCCCCCTACTGACTCCTATAAAACTCCCCTATAATGCTCCCCTGTATACCCGCCTTTAAGGAGTTTATGCTATAGGTTAGGTGGGGAAATAAGCAAGCATGGCTACAGCTAATGCTGCAGTTCCCAGGTCTGATTCCACTTGTAGTTCTACGTAGGGAAAGCCCAAGTTATGGCCAGGTAAGATCCTATAGGATTTAGGGTTTAGGGTTTAGGGTGGGAAGATAAGTGCGATTTTTCAAGGCTTTATAGGGATATATGAGCCATAGTCTAAACTTGCTTAGGCGGTTTGAACTCCATAAGGGTTATTAAGGGGAATACTAGGAGTTTAGATTATAATAGCTCATATGATTATGCGCGAGCTTGTCCAAGCAGAATTTTCAATAGGGCCCCTCACGAGTGCCGTTAATCCCTTCCCCCCAACAATTAGGGTTTAGGGTTTTAACAAGAACCGCCCCAACCCCCTCGTAACGAACTACTGCCATGTTGTAGTATCATATGTTATGGCGAACGCTGATCATTACGGGGATGGGGACGTTTGTGATAAAGGGGGAGGGCTAGTAAGTTACGGGCAACATAGGCTTCACAGTCCATCATCGGGAGCGGTCTTCGGAATTGCCATCCTTGCTTGTCAAAAGTCGCAAGAATCTGCTTGACACGGCCTGAGACAGAGTTCAGGTAAGAATTTGATGAACCTTTCTTTGTCCCCACTATGCTGAGGTTTAACGCCTTCCAGGAGCAGAAAGTTCCAGGCAACTGGGCAAAGGCTCACAGCCCAGACCTGCGGGCTCACGACGTCAGAGTTCCCAACTCCTAAAGCGATAATGCAGGCCTACCTGTTTCCGGTGTCCTAACTATGGGCCCTTAATCGGGTTTCTAGAGTTTTGTAGGGTATATGATAGGTTTTTAAGGAATGTAGGATTAAGGGGCCAAACGAATGCCCCATAGTTCCAACCTTGTAGATAGTATGTTGGGATGTCTTGGGATATATAGAGGAATCAAGAATCACCTTGCTGTTCTTGACTAGCATAGCAGTCCTTGTATGTATATATATATATATTTATGTAGTAGTATCACGTACAATATGCCCTAAAGCCCTGCTACAATTATTAAGGCCCCTGCATTTTCCAGGCCTCCAACTTGGACACATGCAAATCGTGGGAAGACGAAGCGCCAGTCTTTTCAAACTACATCTGTGCTCTTTTTATACGAAGACTGTACTCAATCACCAAGACAATACCAAACCCCAGGCCCCAAGACAAACTCTAACTCCTCATCCAGGAAAAAGATTCTATATATCCCTGCAAATCCCAGTTTCAATTTGCTCGGCCATCTGATTCTACATTATTCCTTGCCCTTAAAGCCTCAACCCTGAACCCCAAAGCCTGACGGAGCTTTGCCTGGCTGTAAACGGATAGTAAAAGGGGCGCTTAAACAAAGAAAAGACCTTCAACCCTAGATCCTAAGCTAAAGCGCCAACACAACCCTAAACCCTAAAACCCTAAAACCCTGCCAAGAGGAGAAAAGTGCTCAGGTGGCTTACCCCTGCCTGAAGCCGCTGAACTCCTGGGCCTGGCTCTCGGTCACGGCATGGACCATGGTGGATAGTTAAAGTATGTAGCATGCTAGAATGCTTCAGGGTTTATAGGGGTTATATAGCGGATATCTAGGGTAAAGTATACTATAATCCCCCTAACTGCAACCCCCAACGCCGCCTAATGAGACATATGAGCCCCCAATATATGATCTGCAAGTAGTATGCTGGAGGGTATCTGTCCATTATTTTGAACTCGCCGCGTTTGTTATTAGGGGACATACAGTTCCATAGTTATCATGTACCTAGGGTCGTGGTGTCAGGCAAGCGTCATAGATGCATTAGCTTAGCCTTGCAGAAGTATGTACAAGAACCACAGATGGTGATCCATCAAGTTGCAATCACCTCTCCCTAATAATGAGACCCCCCCCGCCCCGTAATGACCTAATGACCAGCATTGCCCCTAATAGCTCTAATGTCTGATGGTGCTATGTTGGGATTTGTTGTTAGTATTCTTGAATACTTATGCAGGGGGCTGAGGCTACTGCGAAGAGTTGAAAAGACCAGTTTTCAGTCTTGACTGCGCTGCTCAGTGCATTGCACATGTTCCTGATGCTGAAGGGTCTTTGGCGTACTAGGCAGCATGATGAGTACATTTCGTATAATGCTGGCGGAAACGGGGGTTTAATGGTATCGGAAGGGAAATGCTATGCACCGGAAGATGAAAAACCTGCATGGATTCTCAGCATTTGCGGTGTAGGTTCGTTTGCGCCCACAGCGGATTTCAAACCAAGTGGATTGACATCTGCATAGGACAGTTTAGCTCAGGGTTGTACTTCTTTTTCTGAGACCTGAACTGAAAGATCCCTACTCTAAAGCACAGCTGTTTTCGAAGTCGTGATGCTTCTATAAGATGCGTCCAAATTGCAGACTAGGTTGTTTTCAACGCAGAGGGGCCCGGAAAACCCTGGGGAGACATGAGGATTACAACGGAGTGCGCGGGGCCACTTAACGCGTGTGTAGGGCGGAATTCCGAGAAGCTTCCTGCATTGGATCTGACAGCCCAGGCGGCAGGCTACATGTTTGCTAGTGAGGTTGGTGCAGGGTCTTATTATGTGAGCAGCGCAGGTCGAGCACGCTAGCTGTCTGAAGGACGCTAATAGTAGTTTCCATGCATAGCGGACCCCAATATAGATCCCCAAATATTAAAATCTTTACTATCGAGACCATTAAAAAGGTACCCCTATCTTGGGGAACCTCACAGGTGATTGATTTCATTGCACGCATCGACTTCCTGGTGAAGTGGCTGGTCGAAGGGTGCCTTGTCTTCCTTACTGCTACCTGAAAACCTCAAGGAATATTCCTAACTTCATACTATGCTAATCAATTTTCAACCGGCTGCGGTCCATCTAGTAGTTCTAAGATCCTTCCTTCATTGCTTCCTGAGTCTTACTGGGATGTCAGGGAGTTCCCTAATTCATAGTAGGATGTATGGCAGACGCCAGACCACTGTCCCATAACTGCCTGAGCCCTAACTTTAAACAGAGCTCGCAAACTCAAGTAGCAGGAATGCCAAGCGCAGATTCCAGGTGTGAGCAAAACATGTAATGAATGACGCACTTCAGTTAATCGTAACTGCACTGGAATTTTGTTTAGATTCAAGTAGCAATAGTAATGGTCGCGTCGTGGTAAACGAACTCCGAATAACACCTGCAAGTCCAGTCATGTCGTCCAATATCTAAGCTAATTGCCGGTCTATTTAGACCTTGCATTCATCAAAGCCAGTATGAGCGCCCCAATTCCGAAATACGAACCCAGTCCTTCACCTGTTGCTCCACACCCCAGACCTCAAACCCTTGACCTCAAAACCGAAAACCCAGATCTTGGAGCCCGACCCCTGGGTTCACCAAAAGCCTTAACCCCAAACCTAAACCTTCAACCACACACCCTAAACCCCAAACCAGAAACCCACATCCTAAACCCACACCCTAAACTAAACCCCAAACCCCAAGCCTTACCAAGTTACCAAGGACTCTAGATCAACCTCTAGACCCCGAATTCTTAGACCGCTCATGAGATGAGGCCGCCGCAAAGTTATTGGATTTCGTGCTTCTTCTTCCCACAGGCGCCTGCGCCCGCACATTGCCAGCAGCCCATACGGATCAAGTTCAATGTATTGCTATGATGTAGGGATGCTATAGGGTACTATTATTGGGCTTATTAAGGGGGATACTCATATCTAAAAACGAAGGAGAATTTCGTAAAGAGTGGAGAGGCAAGGCTCAGCGTAAGGCATCAGCCTAGAGAGTCCAGAGAGACAAGATCCCCTTTGCACGACCCGGAAAAGAGACCCAAGTTTACTGAGACAGCTCCACCCGGAGGGTGAGGTTGAGGATGATTACTCCCTGAAAGCCAAGCACTTCTGGGGTTCAGGAGGAGGTTTTAGGTTCTAGGGTTTAGGGGTTAAGGTCTAGGGTTAAGAGTTTAGGGTCTAGGATTTAGGGTCTAGGGTTTAGGGTCCAGTGTTTGCAAGGAAGATTGCGCCTCCTGACAGGGCTTCATGACAGCAGCCCTGCAGCTGCACGCAAGGCAAGGTTCTGCAAGTCAGGGCAGAGTGCTTACACGTATTTACAGTAATCAAATACAATCCTGTTGCGCTATTATCATTTTTACCGTTAGTACGTTGTACGGTGTTACATGCGCACACACATGCAGACATATACATATATAAGAACCTATTCATTCATGTATTGTTGTTGATTATGTACCAATATACACATAACTGCTCAATGGAGGAAGACCAAAATTCCCATCGACACCCTGGAATTCTTCTCAGAGGTGACTTCTGTCTGAGTCTAAGTGCGGGAGGGGTGGAGGAGGGTACTTAAAATGAAAACGAGCAGGAATGTGGAAAGCAGCTACGATAATACCTGAATGCAGCCTGATTTATCAGCATGGATGTGATCGGGGTATTACCTTGGCGACCTGTTGAAAGTTGAGTCTTTGGATCATGGTGTGTTCTGTTCTCCTACGTCAGGATAGTGCAACCTAAAAGATGGACTACAAGGGTGGTCATGATGCTGAAGCCGCAGCCGCAGCCGCAGCCGCCGGAGCGACAGAGGCATTGGCAGCGTCGGCAGCCGTGCAGTAGAAATGCAGCAGCACTGCAGCAGCAATGCAGCACCAGTGATGCGGGTCATAGTCTTGGTAGTACTACTACCAGTGTTTCAAGCATCAGGAGTAGACGAAATGCTAGTACTCTGCTGTGGGAGAGGCGATGGGTAGGGAGGCAAATGCAATACGGCCTCCAGCAATCCTACAGGGTGGAAGACCAACAGTGTTTCTCCTGCCATGCGGTTTAGGGTGTAGGGTTTATGGAACCCTCAGCCCTAAACCGTGTTGTAGCAGCTGACCCATTTGGATCCACCAAGGTGCAAGACAGCACAACCTTGACATCACCACCTCCGTGCGGATCCCGTCATACGGGGTTATACGGGGTCATCGCGGGATTATGTGCAGCTCACATACGCTACATGGGTGTCATATGTCCCATGTTTGGAGGTTCTTAAATAAGGAGTATAGATTGCGGTTTATATTGGGGGCCCTACCGTGGAAGTTGTACGGACAGCCCCCTAAACCCCTAAACCCCAAACCCTAAACTCTAAACCCTAAACCCCTGCTAGTGTCCTGAATAGGTATGGAAGCGGAGCTCTTGAGGCTTTCGAAGCACGGAAGATTTTTCTCGAGAGTCAGTCGGAGGGGTAAGGGATCCGAGCGCTTTTTCACGGGGGCGATGTGTCCAGCCTGTGTACCGCCTTCCCGTACTGGGATTTGCCAGCGTAAGCGGGTAAAAGAGGTGCTTTAAAAAACCTAAACCCCAGATACTGCCCTTCAGCGCTGTGTGACCGAGGAATGGCGTCAACATCCATGGGCTTTTCCTGCAGGGCTGCGGCTGGGCCCCGGCCCCAGGTCTGTCAAACGGTTAAGGGTTTAGGGTTTAGGGATTTAAGGTTTAGGGATTTAGGGATTTAGGGTTTAGGGTTTAGGGTTAAGGGTTTAGGGTTAAGGGTTTAGGGAGCTTGTGGATCCACTCCAGAGACAATTAGGGAGAGTCCAAATAGAAAATGACATGGAACCTCTTGTGGGCTTGAATAGAGCTTGTAGAGGGATTAGTCCCCTCCCCTTATAAACTAACCTCCCTCAGATTATGTCATGTGACCTATTGAGGGTTTTTATGTGTAATCTTAAGCTTGATACTCGAAGTCTCAAGGACTCCATGGCCCGTTTCAACCCTGAAGGGGTCTACCTTACGTAGACCCCCCACCCAGTAATAGTGACTAAAAGGGATACTAAGGATCCTATTAGGGTCCTATTATATTCCTACTATGCCATTATTACAGGGTGGGGGATCCTCCTAAAGTCTACCCTAAACCTTATATGACCCCATAAAGTCCCAATATAATACATTCTTTATGTAGCCCCTATATTCCCCCCGCCCCCCACGAAGGAATGGTTCCTTGTGGTAGTGCTTATATAGCCCTTTTAGTAGTTTCCGTTTTCTTTTGCATTCCTCCTAAACCCTGAACCCCCAACATTCCCCCCCAGCAAACTCTAAACCCTATATGACCCATTATAGTAGTTTCCATGTTCTTCCATTCCTTCTAAACCCTAAACCCCACCCACCCAAAAAAATAAACCCTATATAACCATTTATAGTAGTTTCCATTTTCTTTCCCATTCCTTCTAAACACTAAACCCCGCCACCCCCCACCCCAAAAACAAATAAGAATAAGACGCAAAGATGAAGCACACACTTCATATAACCCATTAGGCCCATTATAGTAGTGTCCACTTCCTTTTCCATTCCTTCTAAACCCTAAACCCCCAACCAACCACCACGCCCAACCCCTCAAAAAAAGAAAAATAATAAAAGATAAACATAAACGATAAGAAATAACAACTATACGACTCATTATGGTAGTTTCCATGGCCTTTTCCATTCCTTCTAAACCCTACACCCCAACCCTCCCTCCCACCCAAAAAAAACTCCACCCTATATCATCAATTATATTGCTTTCCACTCTCTTTTCCAGCTAGCCAAGGGTAATTTGGACTCAGGACATGACTCGCGGCTTGCTGAAAGAGTCTGACAAGGACTGCTCTCCTTTCTGGCAAGGATGTTCTTTGGCTGGGTTGCTGTTAAGGTACTTTGGTTACGGTTTAGGGTTTAGGGTTTAGGGTTTAGGGTTTAGGGCTATATTATCCCCTCATAACGGAGAATCACATATGGAAAAAATGGAAAATGAAATGGAAGCTGGTGGTAAGTTCTTTAACAGCAACCCAGTTGGAGGTTGTGTCGGGAACCAAAGCTGGAGCCGTAATCAGATTAAGAATCAAAAACATAATTATTTTGCAGCTAGATGCGCTGTTTGGACCCTAGTTCTCAAAGGTTTTCACTCCCACGACCTCGTGCTAGCAGGCACCAGATTTGATGCAGGGTCTGGGCATGTTGGATCTTTCAGATTTGTTAGAAGCTGCTGAGAAAATGACACTCCCGTAAGAGGTCCGAGGAAGAACAACTATGCGCACCCTGCCTCATTCCGGTGAAGGCATGAAAGGTTTACCGAAACAGCACCGCCGCTACCCCTTCACGCGAAGAGGATGTGGTATTCGTGGAGATGCCCGTCATCCACTTGGAGCCCCTGGCGATCACAGACAGTGCCAAGTCATCGCCTTAGGATCTGTATACTCAACTCCTCCATGACGCCTACAGGACAAACAGGGGCTTGTCCACAATCAGTAGCCTCTCTTAGGATCCTAAGTTTGAGAACTCGTGATGCGGGGCAGCGATGTGTCAGTGGGAGTTCACCTTCCTCAAGCAAACCTGGAACTCCATCAGCAGTTCTCTAGAGTAGCAGTTTTCGTGAGTGTCTGAACTCCCGGCCGAAGCTAACGGAAGCCCCATCATCCCCTGAATGCCCTTGGCATATCAAGTTCCTGGATCTCTATGAGGATCCCCGTTTGTTTAGGTTGCACGTTTGTTCGAGCTGATGTAAGCAGAGACGCCCTGCCGAAATAGAAGCCGCAATAATGGTGATAGCTTAGGTGGACCCCCCAGATGACGACCCTAATATGACCCTTCTTATCCCCTATAGTCACTATTACTGGGCGGGGGGGTCCACCTAAGTGAATGCCCGTCCATCGCGCCCAGGAGGATAGTCGACGGTAATCTTTACATGTGCCCCATCTACAAGACATCCGAGCGCAAGGCCCATGCAGCCAAGCAGCTGTGATCGGGGGCATGGTCCTTTTACATGAAGTGGGGTTTCCGGCAATTGTGGATCTCTTTCTTGTGGTCTGTTTGAAGATGTTGTCTCATGTTGGGAACAGGCAGAAAGAGCAAGCTTCACAAATACCTTCCTAAGTTGTGTATAGGAGTAACCATGTACAGCTATAAGAATCATACGAATAACATCACAAGCATTAATGTTAGGCATGATACGAAGATCCGCGCAACTAAAATACTATTAATAGTGGACAATTGAGCCCCCCGAACGCTGCTGCCAGGGGACATCGCCCACAACCTGCCAACCCTAAACCCTAAACCTCAAACCCCTAAAGCCCAAAACCCCTAAACCCTAAACCCTAAACCCTTAGCCCTAAACCCTCAACCCTAAATCCTAAACCCTGCCAGGGAACATTGTCCACAACCGGCCACTCCACGAACTTCGTGAAGTTTTTCCCCCTGAGCCAGGACCAGGCCTGACTATCGACTCTTTGTTTAGGGATTAGGGGTATATTAGGGTCATATAGGGATATCTTAAGGTTATATAGGGATATACTCTGGCTATATGGTATATATTAGGGTTATATAGGGATATATTCTGGCTATATAGGGATATATTAGGGTCATATAGGGATATATTCTGGCTAAATAGGGATATATTAGGGTTATACAGGGATATCTTAGGGTTATATAGGGATCTATTCGTGTGGGTTATATAGGGATATGTTAGAGTTATATGGGGATACATTAGGGTTATATAGGGTTATATAGGGAGAGAGAGAGAGAGAGAGAGCATTTTGGCTCAAGCCAAGGGGGGCCCGCCCCGAAGAAGGGAGTTCCTGTTCCTGCAGGGGGGTCCATCTTTTGGAGTGTGCAGTGTGCAGTGGGGTAATGTCTACTTCTTGACGGGTTTAGGCGCGGTTTCCTTCACCTGGGATCTACTTTGTAAAAAGAAACAAAGAAGAGGGAAAGCAGCGATGGACGCTCGCCGTACACCACAAAGTGTGGGAACCGCAATTCGTGAGGATGGAACTGGCAGAACGGAGGAGTGCCCCAAGAAGGCGGCAAAATTGACCAGTGAGTGCAAGGCAGAAAAGAGAGAACCTCACGAGGTAGAGATTCGCTTATTGGCAAGGGAGCTGCAAGCATTGAGCGAGCACATGGAAGGGGAGCAGGTGATCTCCAGCATCCAGACGTTCGTGGCGAAATTTCCAAGGAATTGAGCCAAAGTATGAGGAGCAACAGCCAGCAGAAGTGAATCAATTACAAGTACCACACTGAAACATTCCGAACCAACTCGAAAACATGGATATGTGAAAAGGGAGTGAAGAGGGAATTCAGCATGCCACCGAGAAACCTGGGAGCATAGGCCTCTTGGGGGAATCGGCTACCGAGACATTACTGAGACCATCTAATTCGCGATATCCGCAACGTGATGGAAGGGGTTTGGTAAGTTCGGGTTCCGGGAGTGCTACTTGGTCGTTGTGTTGCGGAGGTGCTGTGGAGGCGGGGAATTAAAGGTTGAAGACAACAAAATGCAGGAAATTAGCGAGGAAATGATGCATGTACAAATTCATGAGGACCGGGTAAGCAAAAGGCCAACCTGGAGTGGTGCAATGGAGCGTTCGCTCGAAGGGATGTACAGTAGTCAGTGCCCGAGGGGGCAACCAGCTCAGTGCCACAGGGGCTCCTGGTTCATTGTGCTACATTCTCTGGATCTATGTAGGCTACTTCACTGGGTCCTTGGACTAGTCCTGGTTCATGCTATGACAGTGGCGAAAAAGTAGTGCACACGGAGCCGGCCAAACTAACCTAGAGAATGCCACTGG